TTCAGCCTTCCCTCGTCCCTCAGGGAATTATGAAGATGAAATCAGATGAAATCTGAAGGCCTGATTCTGACTATGTCAAGGTCTGAAGGGTCGACCTCTTCCAGGAGAGCCCCTGCCCTCTCCCTTCCCTCTGACCTGCTTTCTCTCCACCCCCAGGGCTGGACGTGTCCCAGCCCAGACTCTGCCAGAGAGGACCTGGCATACTGTGAGCATCTGCCTGACCCCCTGGAGGACATCACTGCACGAGGCAGAGGGCGGGAGGGACTGGCACCGCAGCGGGAGGACACCAACCCCCTGGATCTGGCCGTCCTTCGGCTGGCGGCCCTGGAGCAGAATGTGGAGCGAAGGTACCTTCGAGAGCCCCTGTGGCCACCCCATGAAGTTGTGCTAGAGAAGGCACTGCTGAGCCCTCCGGACTCCACTGCTCTGGGGACCGAGATGTGAGTAACACATGTTGAAGGAAAAAAGTTTGGAGAGTTGCCTCCCCCAAAGTACCTACTTTTCCTTCTCCTGGGGAAAAAACTTCCTATTCCTGTCCCTCTTGGTCCAACAAAAACCAAATGGCTCTTGCCCTTTCTATGGGGAGGAGGGAAGTCGGGAGCCCTCTCTCACCAAAGGCCATTTCTCCATTTCTCCCACTCTCCCCCCAGAGCGTATGAAATCACTCCTCGGATCCGGACTTGGCGGCAGACTCTCGAGCGGTGCAGGAGTGCTGCCCAAGTGTGTCTCTGCCTGGATCAGCTGGAGAGATCCATTGCTTGGGAGAAGTCTGTCAACAAAGTGGTGAGAGGCTAGGAGAAAGGCCTGGGGGGCCTAGGGCTGGTTTGAGGGGCTGAGAGGCGGGTGTAAGGAGGAGCAGCAGCAGGCAAAGGCATGGGGTTCATGTCTCCCTGTGGCCCTCCTCAGACGTGCCTGGTGTGCCGGAAGGGTGATAACGATGAATTCTTGCTGCTCTGTGACGGCTGTGACCGTGGCTGCCACATTTATTGCCACCGACCCAAGATGGACACTGTTCCCGAAGGGGACTGGTTTTGCGCTGTCTGTGTGGCCCAGGTGAGGCCCTTTGTCCTTTCCCTACCTCCGCCTCAGATAGAACCTAAAGGATCTCCTATTTCCCACAAGGGGAGTGCTGGGATCCCTTTGGATACTCCAGCCTCGCCACTCATACCTTCCATCTTGTAAGTACAGTCTTTTCAAAGGAAAAAGCAGGTGGATTTGGTTCTTGCTAGGGACCTAAGGCCAACGAAAATCATTTAACTTCTTTTGTACCTTAATTTTCCTCATTTTCAGTGGATGGTTTTTTACTTGCCTAACTCATTGATGCTAGTTAGGTAAATAAATTATGTTGGATTGAAACTGCTTTAAAAAGTTAAAACTCAGTATAGGAATTGTGACTAATGATAGGATGGGACTAGAATCCATAAATAATAGGAATGGTGTTTCCCTTGCTACTTTTGATTCTTCCCTCAGCAGGAAGAGGGAGAATTCCCTCACAAGCCGGGCTTTCCAAAACGGGGCCAGAAGCGGAAAGGTGGACCACTGGGTTTCTCCGAGCCTGAGAGTCGGCGACAGCGTCGTCCTCGGGCTGTGTCCCGGAGCCGGGATGGGGCGGCTGTGTCCAGATACTCTGGGGAAGGGCTGTCTTCCTCCAAACGCCGCCGCCTTTCCATGAGGCACCACCATAGTGACCTCACTTTCTGCGAGTAAGTGAACCTGAGTGATAGGGATGGGGTAGAGTAGAGGGAAGTGAAGATGGGGCATTTGGGGCCTGCTCTTTTTGGAGGGTCTAGGTCAGAGGTGGGGAACTTGTGGCCTCAGGGCTCAGTCCTCCGGTGTGCCTGCATCTCTTTGGCTGTAGGATCATCTTGATGGAGATGGAGTCTCATGATTCAGCATGGCCCTTCTTAGAACCCGTGAATCCTCGGCTAGTTAGTGGCTACAGGCGCATCATCAAAAACCCCATGGACTTCTCCACCATGAGGGAACGCCTCCTTCGGGGCGGGTAAGTGTCTGTCTTCTCTCCTCCAGTTTTTTCCATTTCCGTCCCATTCCCTCTGACATTGTCTCCATCCCCCACTCAGGTATTCTAACTCTGAGGAGTTTGCTGCTGATGCCCTTTTGGTCTTTGACAATTGCCAGACCTTCAATGAGGATGATTCCGAGGTGGGCAAGGCTGGGCACATCATGCGCCACTTCTTTGAGAGCCGATGGGAAGAGTTTTATCAGGGAAAACAGGCCAGTCTGTGAGGCGAGGTGGGACAGGGGCAGGACAGCGCGTGCCTGCTCCTCCCATCATCCCCACCTCCAGACCCTGCCATTCTCGCCTGCTGACGCTGCCTGGGGTCTACAGTCAAGAATCAGACATGCCCTGATCTTGGACTCTCCCTTTGGGCAGCTTCCTGTACCCTCATTCCCCAACTTACCCCCTTTTTCCTCTTCCTCTCCCCTCAGACAAAGGGGTAGGGAAGGGGGTCTTCCTGGACTGAAAGCCAAAAAGAGAAAGAGAATTTTTTCCTTTCTGTTTTATTTTCTAATTACAAAAGGGAGAGTAGAAACACCTCCCTTGCCCTTCCTTCCCCACCTTTCCTGCCCCAGAGCTTTGGGGCTATTTAATGATAGCAATAGTTCTAGTGAATGTGTGAAACCAAGAAACACTCTGTACTGTGTGAGGACCCGTAGTAACGGCCAGTAAAGTGGACTTAACTCCCAAGTGTGTCAAGCCGGATACGGGGCCCTGGACATGCTGCTTCCACGTCCAGTCCTTCCCCCAGTCCTTTGCCCACTTCTCCGACACTTTTTCTTCCAATTTCTGCCTTCCTTCCCTTATCCAATAATATAAAACTCTTGTGTACGGGTTCCTCCCCTTCCTTTCCCCAAATCCTTAAAAAACAAAACAAAACAAAAAAAGATCTTTCAGAGGTTTTTTTTCTCCTTAGCCCAGCCTCATCTATAGCAGTGGATGCTTCTCTGTCCTTACCTCCAAATCTCCAGCCTTCTCTGTGGGGGGAGGGTGGGGAAGTGTCTGGCTCCTGTCAGCCCTGTTTTTCTCCTCCACCTCCCCTAAACCCAATCCTCCCTCTTGGGAGCTCCTCAGGGACAATTACTGCTGAGTCTGGCCAGGATAACTTTGGGCCCATTCCTTCCTGCCCATAAGATGGATTGACTGGCCTCCCCTACTCCTTGTGTGTGTTGCTGCATTGTTTGTGTTTTATCCTTTACTTCCTTCACACCTATTTTTCTTTGTTGCTTTGGAAATATACAAGGAACAGTTTCAGCCAATGGGCATTTTTTCTCTGCCCCTCTTCTGATGTCTGCGATTCCTCCTTCCCATCCCAGGGCATCTGTTTAGGTTTCAAATTGAGTCCTTTTCCAGGATCTCTGATCCTGTTAACTTTGTGTCTCTTGCCCCTGTACACAGGAAGAACCTAAAGCTTTCTGTGGCTTTTAGTTCTGTTACTGCTTCCTGGCCTGTCCTTAGCCCTGGGTGAGTTACCGGGAAAGCAGGATGGTTGAGGGGCAGGTTATGTGTACGCCACTGTCACTGACACGTGACCCCACTCTGTAAGAGGAAAGCTGCCATCTGCCCCCGCCATAACCGTGGGGTCCTGGCCCTCTGCTCCCCTGCCCAGCCTTGGCTCCTCCCATCAGAGATTACGGGTACTTGCACTGGGGAGGAGGCCCTGGGCTTAAGCAGAGAGCCAAGACACCCATATCCCCCAAGGAACTTTGCTACTGGTAGGGAGGAGCCAGTTGAGATAGAGCCAGAATCCTGGTTTTGCTCCACCAGCTGCACTGAATAACCACTGAGGGACATTAAGGGAGAATGGGTCTACATTCTCTCTGTCCTTTTGCTTCTCTCCTTTTCCATCTCATTTCTCAAGTCGCCTTTTCTGTCAGATAAACCTCAGAAATTATTTTGAGATTTTTTTTATTTTAAATAAGAGGTGAATTGAAGACTATTTGAATTGACTATATTATACATAAATATTTATATTTTATCTAAACTGCGCTGTAACAAACTTTGTGTTAAATGTTTGGAATTATAGATGAGGGCTCTTCCCTGTCCTCAGTCACACACCTCATCCCCCTCACAGGGTAATGTTTTTCCTGATATAAAAGCCCTTGAATTAATTTTGAACTTATTGGGAGAGGGGAGTGGGGAGGAAGAGAATGATGGTCTGGAATCTCATGTGTTCCACTTAAGTGTTCTCTTCCCTCCACCCAAATCCCCAAGGATCAGGCACTCTTGAGGTGGTAGGCTGGCTTGAAATTTTGGGGGCCTGTTTGGTTGGGGGTAAAGTGGTCAACTTTCCACTTTTCCTTCTGCCTTCATTCTTAACAATTTCAATTATTTGGGGATAGGCATATTAAAAATCAGCTTCATCCCCCACCCTCAAAAAAAAAAATCCTATCCCATCTTCTCCCACGTCAGTCTAACAGGAAGAAACCACATCATCAACAAAAGTTGTTCCCATGTTCCTTTTGTGGCAAAAAGGGACTAACTTTTATATAACCAAATGTGGTGTTTTAGTGACTTTTTGATAATGTACAGTTTTTTTGTGACTTTAAATTTATTTCTTTCTATATTTTTAGGACCAATCTCATTTTTAATAAGGTTGAAAAGGAAAAAAAAAGTCTAGAAAACTCCTGTTGTTGCCATGTGATGTTCCACAAGTGCAGCTGTAGAAAAAGTGCTTGTCAGTTGAATAAAAACCACATTTGATAGAGATTCTGTGGTACTTACTGTCTGTTCCGATCCCTGTTCTGGGGGAGGGTGATTGGGGAACCTCAAGTCTTTTTTCAAGACGGTTGGGAATGATGGGCCACCTGATTTCCTTCCCTTTGTGAACTCATTAGGAAAGTGTGTAGGTGTTATCTTTAAAACCCAACTATTTAATTTGGTCCAGGCACTGGCTTTCCATGGCCCTGTTTTGAAGATGTCTTTCTTGGGCAAAAAAAGCCTACCACCATCCTGCCTCCCCTGATCAGGACACTGAGGCTGGTTTTTTATCATTTTATTTAAAAACAATTTGAAATGAGACAATTGGAGCTCCACAAGATTGCAGGGGAAGGAAGAGGTACATTGGAAAATTTAGGAGATAAACAGAGGGATACTAAGCTGGAGTGCTTTCAGCATAGAAGCAGGCAGAATACAAAACTAGAAACTCTGAATAAACAAAATCAAAAGAAAAAAACTTTAAAAAATCTGTACAAAATGTTTCTAAGTATAAATTAAACTTATTTCAGGTCTACAATGGGTATATATGAGATGGGGATTGGTGTTGGGTGGATGGGATTAGCATAAAGATGGTCCCCTGTTGGCATCTCCATCAGGACCTCAGGTTAAGCTCAACTCAGACAGTTGGATACCAACTTCTCTTCCCCTCAGTCCAGCTCGAAGATAGGAGAGGTAAGTGCCCCAAGGTGAATAAAAGAGGTCTCTGGAATAAGGCTGTTTTTAAAGCCCAACAGGGGAATAAGGAAAATGAGATGACAAAGCCCCTGTGCCGTGTTGGTTGTCAAACTGGGGGAGGGAATAGCTACTGCTGCAGTCCTTGTAACTTTCTCCCTTTCTGGAGCTTGGACCAGTTAGAGTAAAACCACTGGTCATGAGGGAGTTGTTTCATGGTCTTTTTAAGACCCATGAGCTCCGCTTCAACTTCAGTGTTAATTGGAAAGTAGGCACCAACACTACAGACTCAGCCCTATTAGATTCTACAGAAAGTAGCAGCAACTAAATTTTGTTTTTTAGTTACAAACCCTTCCCTACCCATATCACCCATTCTCCTTGCTCCCAAACCTGAAATAGGTGAAGGGATAGAGTAGGGGCCTAAGAAGGTGGTTGTGCCCTTGTTCTGAACAATGAACTGTGAGAATTGTGAGGTAGATGTGTAACGAGGAGAAAGAACATTGCTGGATATGTAGTGGAAAGTAAGGAGGTGGTCAGAATAGGCTTGGAGGCTGGGAGAGCAAAGAACCCTGCAGGCAATACATTAGCCATATGTAGGACTCCCTTGGTGGGGGTGGAGGGGGTGGAGAAGGGCAGTACAGAGGGAAGGCAGAAGGATGGAGCTAACATGGCACTCCCAAGGACTGGTGAGGAAAGCCCCTGCTAGGGCTTAAGAGGGAAGAGGTGGGAGTAGGGGATATTTCTGGGGAATAGACAAGGATAGCCACAACTTGAAAGGGAACTAGAGTGGGAGGTGGGAAAGCTGGGGAAGAGGGAGAAGTGGCTGGATCAAGGGATGTCAAGGCACAAAGAATCTAAGCCCTCCCCCTACTTCTGACTGGCTGCTTCACCACTCCTAGGCCCATCAATACCCGGGGGGGGGGGATGATAACCATTCACCTGTTTTTATTGCTCAAAGCTATGGGGGTGGGGTTGAGGGGGTACTACTGTCATTGCTAAGTGTGGCTCTGGTAGCTGGGGTGCGATGCCACCCCCCCCCAGCAGGTGGGGCACATGGCAAACGGCAGTCCAGGTCCCCTTCCCAGAATAGCCGCAGCTGGCCTGGTTCCTCCCAGCTGAGCAGAATACCCTCCAGCTGTTCACTCACATCCTTAAGGAAGCACCCGGCTCTGACTCAGTCCTCGAGAGGTGCCCTCCCTTCTCTAGATTGCAGAGAGGCAGGCGATCTCAGGGACCGCAAGGTGGAGACTGAAAGCACCAGCTTTTAGCACCAAAGGGAGGAAGCCCGTTTGTTAGCAATGGGAAGTGACGGGGTTGCCTGCATAGCTTCTGAGTCTCATCTCACTTACCCTACAGTCCATGTGCCTCCACCTCTAATATACAGCTTCTCCTCGAGAATCTGGGAACAGGAGGCTAGACTAGGACCTGCTTAACTTTCTTTGGTTAAACAAAACAAAATCTTAAAAAGAAATATTTCACTTCTCTTCCCCACTTCCGCCCCCAAAACACAGTATTTTCATACATGACACCCTTTGCCTCAGACCAGGTCTAAACAGCAATGCAGCCTCTGCACCGTCCCCAGGTTTGGGGCCTGCCATGATCCAGGCCCTATGGGAAGCAATGACAATGGCAATGCTGAATCAGCTCTGGGTCTCTAAAACCCAGGAGAGGATGTCCGGTTCAGTGATGTTTCTATTTGGCTTTCTTAAAAAAAAAAAGTGTGCGCATACACATATATGCACAAAAAGATACATAGAAAAACATTTTAAATCCTAAGAGCATCTCTGTAATCACAGAAATAGCATGCTCTTCGAAGGGAGAGGATGTGAGATTGTGCAGAGACCCTCTACCATCTACCCCCTATCCCTCAGCCACAGCCCCTGCCTGACAAGAGGACCTGAAGGAACAAAGATTAGCCAGGCCCCTGAGTTCAGACCTAGAGCATCCTTTAGCTGTTCCCACTACATCAGTTTGTGGCTTAGGGGTGAGGGGAAGGATTTCCCTCCCCACACCCTATTTCTCTGCGCCAGTCACCCACCCTTTATCACAACTGATCACATGTTAAAAAAAAAAACATTCTTGCCTCCCCCCACCCCCCAAGTATCTCAAGAGTAACAACTCAAAAGCACCAAATGAAGTCATCACCACCACTACCACCAACCACCAAAAAAATTTAAAGTCAGTGGTCAGTCTAAATCCCCTGTATCCCCAAACCCTTCTTCCAGAAAACACCATTAAAAGGAACCAATAAGAACAATGAGATTTCACAAGGGCAAGCTCAAAAGGAAACATAATGATTCTCTGAAAGAAGCTAAACAGCACTATCTGGACACTTCAAACAAACCAACAGGTGGTAAGGGTAGGCCTCGGGGGATGACAAAGGAAGAGTAGCAGCCGCTCCTGCTGCATATGGAGGATGAGAGACCCCACTGCACTTCTGTTTCTTTCAACCACCCTAGGCTTCATTTAAGATGTGCCTAAAATCAAGCTATCTGGATTCTTTTTTCCTTATTTTTCCCTAAGAGTACATAGACAAGGTAGGGTTATGTAGTCTTCCTTGGTCAACTCTTAGGAACAAAAGTTCTCCCTACAGCCTTACCCCCTTCCCCCAGCATCCAGACTGCCAGATAGGGTAACTGAATGCATGGGGGCTGGAGTTACTTCTCATTGACAGTGACAAAAGGAACAGGAGTGAGGGGGGACAAGAGGCAAAGGAAAGGCAAGGGGGCACCCTCTGAGCAAATATGTCCTGGGATTGAGGGTGTTTAAAAAGTTTAAAAAGCACCCAAAAGAAACTGAAAATAGGCAAACCAACATCACCCCTCCCAAGGTTGAACAAAAGGGCAGTTTGGGGGTAAGGAAGCATGAAGGATAGATTGGAGAGGCCTGGGCTGGAGCCTATTACTGAAGCTCAGTCACTGGTGCTGCAGCATTCCCCCTCCTTCTCCCTCCAGCTTATTTAACACCTGATTTTCCCTCACACATCAATCTTATCTGTTTTTCTATCCTTGATTGTCGTAGTGCAGAAGAGTCTGGCCCATAGGTGGAGAGGACCCAGTCCCTTGGGCTGAAACAGAACCTCCCTTTCATAGCTTTACAATGTAATTATGAAACTGGACTCTGGGTGGGAAGGTGATAAGGGAAAGGCCTGTTCCTTGAGGTGGGCAGCAGCATGACACTTCCACTATTTGTTTGTTTCTCTGGGCACAGAGATAAATCTTGCAGTAGGAGAAGGGTGGGTAGGGTGGAAATCATGGGCCTTTTTCACTAAAGTCCTAGCCTCATAGGAACGATGAAATGTGGGGTGGGGGATGGTTATTGCACGTTTCCAGCCCAGATACCTGCTGGACTTCCAGAAGAAGGAAGATGCCTGCAGATGCGCAGAACCTTGGGAGAAGGGCAAGCTCACCAGGACAGTGCAGGCTGAACTACACAATCTGAGATTGGTATATCCTTTTCTACCCCTACCCAAATGCAAACAGCATTCATGTACACACGCACGCATGTGCACACACACACACACACACACACACACACACTCTCTCTCTCTCTCTCTCTCTCTCTCTCTCTCTCTCTCTCTCTCTCTCTCTCTCTCTTACTCTCTCTAACATGCAACCCAAAGCTTGTTGGTAAGTCAGTGCATGCAGAGAGGTTGGGTAACGGTCTCCCCTGGCAGCATCCCTAAAGGTGGGTGTCGGAAGGCACTGTGGATCCCAGGGTCAGGGGTGGAGAATTACCAAGTCCTGTGGGGCAGTATCATCTACACCAAGATGAAGCAGCTGGTCAGCTGATCCATGCTCGGCAAAGAAAGTGGGGAGGAAGGCAGGGGACAAAGAGGAAGAGGAAGGCAGCACATGTTCTAGCTGTTGGGGCTCTGAGCACAGCAAAAAGGGGTGGGGAGAAAGAGAAAGGTGACAGGTCCACAGCTCCTTTCCTGGAGATGGCACAAAAAGCCAGCCAGAGCAGCAGAGTTAGGATTCCTGAAGAGCTGAAGCCAAAGATGATTTCCTGGGATGGAGATGTCCCCATAGCAGCAAGAAGAAGAGCAGAAGTAGTTGAATTCATTGTCTGATATTCTGGAGGAAACCTTGTCTCTGTCCAGATGGGCTGGAGTGAAGGGTCAGGGGTTTTGTCTCTGCAGTGCCCAAGGACACGTTTCTCTTCCCTGCAGCCAAAGTCTGGTGTTCTTTTCCAGGTAGGAGGCAGGTAAGCGGGGAAGAGGAGCAGAAAGGAGGAAGGATGGACCCCCTCCACTGCCCAAGTTATGCTCTGTTTTGTTCTTATTTCACAAAATAAAATTCCATTTCAAAAAAACCAAAATCCCCAAGTTAAAAAGCTGAAGTGGGCAGGTTCTGCAGCATGGGGGTGGGAAGAAAGCAGTGGTTGGGTTAGGACGCAACTTGGGGAAGAAGCAGAAAGAGAGGGGCAGGCACAGATTCTGGGAGCTTTACAAAACAAAATTCAAAAAACTGCATATTTTCTTTAAAAAAAAACCTACAAAATAATAAAAACAGAAAAGTCTGTAACCAAACCCATCAAGAAGAACCCATGGCCAATGCCCCAGCAACAAAGCTTTCTACTTTCTTTTAAAAGAAATTTTTAAAAACAGCCCAAACAATAAATCCCAACACAACACAGGATTTTTTTCATATGGAGACATGAACATCCAGTCACTGGTTGGTCTCCTTGGGGTGAGAAGAGTCTGTTGTGGTTTTAAAAAACGTTTTCTTTGCAAAAGAAAGAAAAAAAAATCTGAACTCCTTGAATGCAGCACAAAGGAAAGGTGGCTTTGTAACCCCAGGTTCCGCCAGTGATGTGGGGAAGTGGTGGGGCATGAGAGCAGAGATGTCCTCTCAGGCCCAGGCCCATCTGTAAAACATATCAGTCTTTCATAATAATGATGGTCAGTCCTTCTTGGAGTTGGCCAGTCTACACCTTGATTCCTCATTCTTTGCCCCACCTACTTCCAACCCATCAGAGCTGGAAAGAGCCAAGCACAAGCAGGACCTAGATGACCCACACAGCAAGGATAGGTGGGAAACAGACCACTGTGAAACACTAGACTGCCTGGGTCTTGGGACCTCCTCCCATAACCTCTCTCTCCCCAGCTCTGGCCCTCCTGCCCTTGCCATGTGGCTCTTACCCACTGTTACTTGCTGTACTGGAAGGAATAGGCTGCATGATCGGAGGGAGAGTCCACCGCTACTTGACTTTGCTGGCCACTGTTCTCCTGTATCATAACCATGGCAATGAGGTCATCCTCCCCTGCCCCTACCCTCCCACAGACTAACATGCACCCAAACTCTAGTATTTCAACCCCCAAATATGGAACAGCCAGCTCTCCTTACCACCACCCTCCTTCCACCCCCAAGGCTAACAAGTCTGTATAATCAACATCCAGGCCATGATTATTGGGAAAAAGCTGTGAGGAAGATGAGGGGTCCGGCAGTTAAAAGAGTGCAGGGACCAGGTCCTTCTTACATTCCTGCATGCCTCCCCCAAAGCCCTAGAGAAATCACAAAGCTCTTACCTCAACAGGGACACTGGAAGAAGGCACAGGCGTGTACTGGGGGATATAAGCTCCTTGCATAGCTGCAGCGGTGGGCATATACTAGGAGGAGAAAAACATCAAGAGGATGGAGGAGCCTCCTCCAGGGTCTCCTCTTCTTTTCCCATCCCCCATGCTGGCCTTTCAGCTACCCAGGCCTTCCCTGTCTACCAACCCTGGCTCATTCATTGTACTCTCTAATCCTAAGCCTTGTTGTGCAAATTGGCACCTTTCCAGAATGAGGCGGCACAAAAACGCAAGAATTTTTCTTCTTCTTGTAAGGATTTCTAGACAACCTGCAGGAACTTGGAAAGTATCATATTTCTGCCTGCCTGTACAACTTGATGAGGCAGGACTCAGTTGAAGGAGATAATGGGAGGAATAATGATGAAGAAGCAGATGGATATTTTACACCTAATGGGTTGCCTCTGACCCACATACATAATCACGGATTCTAGTCGAATGAAAAACCACGTGTTGAGCATTTTTATATATACTTAATAAAATAATTATATAGATTGTAGGGAGTCTAAGAGATCCCTGGAAATTTTCATATTAAAGTGATTGTCTACCCCTCCACCCTCAGTTATCCATGGCTTTACCGTGCCCGTGCTGCTGAGGGAAAGGTGGCCCAGCTGCTGAGTGAGAGGTCCCATCACTGAGGCAGGCTGGATGGAAATGGTGTGGTCCATCCCTGGGGTCAGGACTGTGCCCTTGGGGAATAAACAGGAAGAGAGGAAAGAACAAGGACAAGGTTAGCTTCAAAGTCTTCAGTCTCAGGATTAGTGACCAGCCTGAAATGAAGGCTAATAATGGCCCCTGGAGAACACAAAAAAGCCCTGGTAAGTGGCAGGAAGAGAGAAAGGTGAGCGTCAAGCAGTGCTGTACGAAGAGGCTCCCTTGACTCCATTGTCTGGCTGAATGAGGAGAGGTAAGGCTACCTGGCTGGGGACGTTTTAGTTTTTGCCCACATTCCTCAGGGTAATGCCTCCCCCACCTTCCTATACCCCTCCCCACCCCACCCCCCCACACCGCCCCTTGCAGGAAAGACTGGAGACACTCACTGCAGGTGGCATGAGGTACGACTGGTGGTGCATCCAAGACGGGCTGTGAACCTACAGAGAATGGAGATGTCTGAGCCAACCCCTATTGGGGAAAAGGAAAATGTAATTGATGGTAACTGCCTACTGGGCCCTGCCCAGCCCCTGAATCTAAATGTTGGCAAAGCCAGGGTCAACAATCCAGTAAAAACTGGACTTAGGTAACGAAGGCATTAAGAATAAGCACCTTGGGGCAGCTATGTGGTTCAGTGGATAGAGCTCCGGCCTTGGAGTCAGGAGGACCTGAGTTCAAATCCAACCTCAGACACTTGATACTTACTAGCTGTGTGACCCTGGGCAAGTCACTTAACCCCGATTGCCTCACCAAAAAGAAAAAAAAAATAAGCACCCTTTTCACCTAAACCACCATGTTAAACAAAAGAGAATGCATATTCCCTCCCTTATGATGATGCTTTTACCTGATATGAAGATACAGGAGATGGGAGATAGGGAGATAGTGTGGTCTGGGCAATCATCCTGTTGGGGGTGATGCTGTAAGGTGATGCTGTATAAAACCTGTAGGAAAGAGTCATACTAAATAAAAGGGTTAGAGGTAACTATGGGATGAAGGGTCCCATAGTTAATTCTGGTGACTTCCCACTATCTCAGCCTACCCAGGTGTGCCTGTTTCCTTGTAGTCCTGTCATTAAGAAAAAAAAGAAAAGATGCCTCTTCTCGTATCTCACAGTCATTCTGGACTCCCTCACTACAAATCAAGTTTCCTTCTAACATAAAAAAAATTACCAAAATCACAAAAATACAGTGATTACAAGTTCATGTCCTTGAACCATTTCTCCACTAGAGAAGGGTTACTGTTTTCTTTTTAGTTTTGTATGAGTTCTTTGTAGATACTAGCTATATCTACCACAAATACATTTTTTTTATTTAGAAGATCTCTCTATAGCACAATATCATACTTCTATCTGCCAGATATTCCCCCTGGATGATGTGCTGGTACTTTCAAACTCAATTAATCACACTTTCCATCTGCCACTCTCAAGAACTAGAAATTGAGGGGATGCCCATCAATTGAGGAATGGCTGGACAAGTTGTGGTATGTGAATGTAATGGAATACTATAGTGCTATAGGAAATGACGAGCAGGAAGACTTCAGAAAAACTTGGACTTACATGAATTGATGCTAAGTGAGGTGAGCAGAACCAGGAGAACATTGTACACAGTAATATCAACCTTGTGTGATGATTAACTATGACAGACTTGGCTCTTCTCAGCAATGCAATGATCCAAGACAATTCCAAAAATCTCATAATGGAAAATGCTATCCACATCCAGAGAAAGAACTATGGTGTCTGAATGCAGATTGAAGAATACTATTTTCACTTTTTGGGGCTGTTTGTTTGTTTGTTTTTTCTTTCTTGTGGTTTTCCACTTTTGTTCTAATTCTTCATTCACAATATGACTAATGTGGAAATATGATTAATATGATTGTACATGTGTAATCTATATCAGATTGCTTGTTGTCTTGGGGAGAGGGGGGAGGAAGGGAAAAAAATACAGAATTCAAAATCTTATTAAAGTGAATGTTGAAAACTATCTTTACATGTAATTCAAAAATAAAATAAAATACTATTAAGTGGGGGAAAAAATCTGCCACTCTCACTAACTTCCCCTCCTCTGTGAATGGCCCCACCATCTTCCCAGTTACTCCTTGTCATCTTTGACTCTTCCCTCTCCCTCAACCCCAAATATCACATCAGTAGCCAAGTTTTTTTGTTTCCAACAGCAACAACACTCACATTCCCTTCTGCATGCCCATCTCCTCAACCACTGCTCTTACCTATTCTCACCTATGCTACTGGAACAACCCATTAAGTCACCTTTCTCCATCTCATCCATTACCTCTCCCATCTATTTTCCATGTCTAAGGAATTTTTATGATGCACTAGCATGATCACATCATTCATCTACTCAGAAATTCTCAGCAGTTCTTCACTGCCTACAGAAAAAAGTTTAAACACTTTGGCATTCAAGGGTCCAACCTGCCTACCTCAACATATTATAACTATTTCAAATTCCAGCCAAACTGAACTTTTCTCCATCTCTCATGCTTGTCCTAGCCTCTCTAAGGCCTTATTCTCCACCCATCTCTGCTCCTCAGTGCTTGGCATAGACTATCCTCTACTCCATCTGTTCAAGTGCCTTCCTTCCTTAAAGGTCCAGTTCAGATGCCTTTACAGACCCTTTCTTGATGCAATTCCACCCTCTCTTCAAAAAAAAAAATTCTCATTACCCAATTCTCCTTTGCCCTTACTATAGTCTTCCTTGTATCAAACCATATCCCCTCTCAACCCTGACAGCAGAGGATGCGCCATTTTAAAAGCTGTCTCACACATAGTTGGCATTTAACATTCCTTGAATTTGTCATGCAAAACATATGAAAAATAAACAATTAAAAATATTTTTATACAAGATCAATTTTGTCGCCAATAATTTCTTCCATTTGTTCAAGAAAAAATTTTTCCTTTTCACAAATGAGATAAACAATTTTCTTTCAGTTTCAAGAAATAATTTAGAGTATTAACTGGAGGGTGTGAGGTCTGGAATGAAAGCTATCAGAATTGATCCATAATACTGTTACCCAAATTTCCTAAATTTTAAAAATTGAATGAATCCTTATCCTAATTTATATAACCACAGACTCAAGAGCTGGAAGGGACACCTCAGAGGCCATCTCATCTGACCCTTTCATTGTACAGATGAATAAAATAAACCCAGAGAGGTTAAGTAAGGGACTTGCCCAAGGTCACACTTGTAGGCTTTATCAAACATTAATAACAATGATTGACTAGGTTCTATTTCTGGATTTTCTTCTATTCCAATGATTTTTCTATTTTACAATGACTATTTAACACTTTATCTTGAAAGCTTGTAGGACAAATTCTACATAAATATTTTTCCATAGTACCTCTTGATATTTCTGTCTGTTTTTCTATAATTAATTTTGTGTTGGATTTTTCTAATTGTGTAAAATAGCTCTTTGGTATTTCAACTGATAGTGGAATAAGATCTATAAACTAATAAGGGAAGTTTTTTGGCTACACCTAACTGTGTGTATGTGTGTGTGTGTGTGTGTGTGTGTGTGTGTGTGTGTGTATGTATATGTATATATGTATATGTATATATGAATATATGGTGGAGATGATTATCCCTAAAATTGTTAAGTTCTTTCTAATTTATATTCAACAAAAATCTCTTAAATTTGTCTCCGTATAGGTCTCTTATATGTCTTCGTCATCTTGAAAAAATATTTGACCCTCTGTCATAACTGTAAATGGTATTATTTCTCTACCAGGTTTTTTTATTTTTGTTTGTGATATATAGAAATGCAAATTATTCTGTGGATTTATCTTGTATATTGCTACCTAGGTAGAGGTAACAATCACCTCATTTTTTTACCCTTAAATCTCTCAGATCTTCCAAATAGCTATTCCATCATGTCATTTGCAAATAGAGATATTTTAACTTCTACACTGGCCATCTTTTTCCGGTAGTTTTTTCTTCATGCCTTATTGGATTGCTAACATTTCTAAGAGGCAGGCGTGGTGTACTAGAGAGAATTAGGAGTCAGAAGGCAGGGACCTCCACCTCATTCTGGAGGGAAGCTCACTAGAGGGGACTCTACAAGTCATTTAAACTTTCTAAGTTTCATTTGCCTCCTCTATAAAGTGAGATACTCCTATCCTGCCACTACCTGACTTCACAGAGCTGTGAGGAGGAGAATAGGTAAACTTAAAATCATTTTACAAATGTCAGTTAATATATTTATTAAGATTACATAAAATTAAAAGTGATAGCACACAGCCCAGATTTACATCTGTTTTTAATGAAAATGTCTATTTCTCCATTCTGTACATGAGCTCTTAGTTCCAAATCTTGCCCCTGAATGTCACAGTTATAGCATGGAGTCCTGACAAGGACTTACCCATTCTGTAGAGCTGTGGCAGGGTCATAGGTCAGTGCCATGCCACCCTGTGAGAGAAAAGCACACAGATTACCTGGGAGTGTTTGGGTGAGGGGCAGGAAAATACTCAGACTCTATAGGCACTCTATAGGAAACCTTTAGTTTCCAGATGATCAAGACAGTCAAAGTTGGAAAGCCTGGATTAAGGCTTTCCTTAAAATGAGGCCTGGGCAAGCCCAATGGCAGATATTCTGTTGTTTGTCCTTCATACTCAAAGAGGACCAAAATGACATCGCTATATTGGAGTCAAGGTACAGTGTGCCCAGCTGTGGCTGATTAGTCCAACATGAGTTCAGAAGGCTTCTATCATAGGTCAGGCACAAATTTTGGAACATTTAGAGTGCAGATGGCTCCAAATTTGTGAATCTCTCATTTCTTTTGGGCTATTACAATTCTGCTTCACTTATAGAACACAGCGCCCTCTTCTATGTGGGCATGCTAGACGGTTCTATATTAGTCTCCCATGTCTCACAATAGATACTAAAGCTCTTCAGAGAAACCTTGAGAGTGTCCTCGTACTGCTTCTTCTGACCTCCAAGTAAGCGCTTGCCTTGTCTGAGTTCTCCATAAAATAACCTTTTAGGCAAACATACCCTTGGCATTCGAACAATGTGGCCAACCCATTGGAGTTGCACTCTTTACAGTAGAGTTTGAATGCTTAGCAGTTCAGCTTGAGAGAGGACCTCAGTGTCCAGTACCTTATCTTGCCAGGTGATCTTGAGAATCTTCCTAAGACAATTCAAATGGAAACGATTCAATTTCCTGGCATGGTACTGGTAGACTGTCCAGGTTTCACAGGCATACACCAAAGAGGCCAGCAAAATGGCTCTGTAGACCTTCAGTTTGGTAGGCAGCCTAATATCTCTATCTCTCACATTTTCTTTTGGAGCCTTCCAAACACTGTGCCAGTTCTGGCATTGAGTACATCAACCTCATCATCTATGTGGACTTTCCTGGAAAGTATATTGCCAAAGTAAGTGAACTTATCCATAGTATTCAAAATTTCTCCATCTGCAGTAACCAATGGTTCCACGTATGGATGGTGTCATGTGGTGCTGGCTGGCAGAGAACTTCTGCTTTCTTGGTGTTGATGGTCAGGCTAAAATTAGCACAAGCAGCACAGAATCAATCTATGCTCTGTTGCATCTTAGCCTCAGAGGCTGCATTGAGTAGAAGCTTTGTTACTGTTCCAAAAGCAGAGGATCTTTTACAAAAGCCCTGGAGTTAAGCAGCCATTCTCCCTGAAGGGGATGCCTATTACCTATTAGGCGTTTGGGCTGACATCAGGTATCTCAGAAAGCAAGTCAACAGACCTTCCATCCTACTTTACTCCTGCATTCCTATAAGCCTGCTACCCCACTTACCACATCACCATCTCTCGGCCAAGACCGGCCATTCTGCACATATTTCCCCTGGTTCTGGCGTTTCTTTTGTCCACCATCAGCAAATTTGCAGAGCAAAGGATCAGATGGGGCTGCCAAGAGAAAAGCAGACAGGAAGTTGAGTCCTGCCCCGTCTTTACCCATGCACAACAATACTTCTGTCGCACTGTGGAATGAGTTGCCCATGGACCTCTCAACCCTGAACCTTATCTCCATTACCTGGTACTCCAGGGGGTGTCTTAATGTATTTGCCATTAAAGTGAGTGATGATGGCTTCACACTTCTCTGTGGACTCCATCCTACAGAGGACAGGAGGGAATGGTTAGGCCTTGGCTTTTCTGATCTTCAGTGTGCAGCCCAAATCCTCTAAGAGCAAGCATTCTTAAGCTCCTATCCTGTCTCAAATGTAAGCAGTCATAATCGCAGAAGCTCTACATATTCTAGGAAGTGGGAGGAGCAAAAATCTTTCCAATGTGATGAAACAGATGGTTTAAGAATATAAAGACCCAGGGCACCTAGGTGGATAGAGCACTGGGCCTGGAGTCAGGAGGACCTGAATTCAAATCTGGCTTCAGACACTTGACTCCTACTAGTTGTGTGACCCTGGGCAAGTCACTTGACGTCGATTGTCTTGCAAAAAAAAAAGAAAAAATATAAAGACCCATGTTCTAGTCTTAACTCCACCTCTTAGTAGCTATTCTGATTCTTTAAATCTCTGAGTCTCAGTTTCTTCATTTGTAAAATAGGGGTAATATATATTCCACTCCCTCTCACAGGGTTTTGAGGACTAAATGAAATAAATGTGAACACACTTTTAAAATGATAAAGTCCTACATAAAATATAGGATTCTCCTACAATGTTAAAACAAAACTCTAACATATTTTCTATCTGAATGTGCAGCTCAAAATCTAGGGACCTTTCTGATGAGGTAGGAGATAGAAGAGCGCAGAAGAGGATATTTCTGGGGAGATGACAATTCAGGTCAAGAGAGATCAATGACTGGACCCTGGCACAGTTGAACATCACATTGCACGTGATGTGAACAAGACTCAACATGCAGGGAAGCGTTCTATTCCTCTTCAATACAGGGCTGAGGGACTCAGTGGGGACCAGGCTGAACAACAGGCATCTATGCAGAAGTCACCAAAATTGTTTCTAGGCCTGGGAAAAAGAGGTACATGACAGAGAACTAGGAAGCAGTTGGGGGAAGATTAGGAGACAAAGCATTTTTATGATGAAATCTGACATCCTACTTCACAAGGTAGTCACGAAGAAAATGATTTATCAACTTTAAGGGCTTAAAAATGGCAGCAAGATAGAGGAGGCAGAGGAAACGAAACCTCAAAGCCTGGGCTCATATCCTGCCTCTGACACAAACAGGTGGCATGACTCTGGCCAAGTCACTTCACTTCTATCCCAAGCAACTATTTAAGACTCTAAGTTAAAAAACAGTTGCCTCTCTGCACTGGTAGAGGGAGTTCAATCACCAGGAGTTCTTTATGCCTATCAAATCACAGGTCAGGACCAAAAAAAGTGATGTAAAAGTATGAGCAATTATAAAATAAATATATAAATAAAAATTAAAATTGCCATTAAGTATTCTTTCTTTTTTTTTTTTTTGGCGAGGCAATCGGGGTTAAGTGACTTGCCCAGGGTCACACAACTAGTGGCAAATATCTGAGGCCAAATTTGAACTCAGATCCTCCTATTCCAAGGCCTGAACTCTATCCATTGTGCCACCTTGCTGCCCCAATCAAATATTTCTGAATCGAGGGCTTAGGCCCCTGCTTGTTCCTGAATTCCCAGTGCCTTCAGAGAGGGTCAGGTTGACAATAGACTTTCCACACTGTCTGCTCTCACGGCCTCTTACCTTGCAAAGCCAACCCCTCGACTGGTCCCACTTGTGTCTCGAAGAATTCGAGTAGAAATGACTTGCCCAAAAGGCTTTAACATCCCCTCCAACTCCTGCTCATCCATAGTCACTGGGAGGTTTGAGATGTATAAATTTGTAGGGTCCTGCTCCTGTTGCTATGAAAGCATAAATGTGACAATGGGTAAGGCATTCTCCTCCCTCTTCTCCCCCCCCATATTTCAGGAAAAAATAAGATGCAAACACAAGGAGGTGTTTATAACCATTCCTCCCTCCCCACTTCCCAGCTACTTGCTCTATCCTATAATAATGATGAAAGGAGGAGACTACCCATTGTTTCTAATTCGGATCTCAATTCACTGGTATCAGTGACATCAGTGAAGTTTATGACTGCTCCTTTAGGAGCCAGGCAGGGCACCAGGCCCTATACTCCTTTGCAGATAGTCCCAAGGGGCAGGAGACTCCTGAAACACTTGGTCAGTCTGGACTGTTTTAAGAACTCCCCCTCCCCCATCTTCCAGCCACAGCAGAATCCCTCTTAGCAGGAATGCATTTTCACTTTCTGATGAAGGAAGGGGCAAAGAGAGGAAAGAAAAAAGGAAGGGTCATGTGCCAGGGACTACACTAAGGCATAGCCTGGCTTCATTCTGGACAGCTCCCAGAGCCTCTTACAGTCATTCTCCAGACGGCAGAAGTTGGAGAGCCTTTCTGAGGGCCTTTCCCAGGGGCAGGGTATAGGAATGGCCCTTTCTACATAAAGGTCTAATCACAAGAACCTTGGCAGTCAGCCAGCTTGCCCAGGGCCCCGGAACACCCTCAGTTTAAGACTTTCTCCTATCTTTGCCTTCAAGGCTTCCTTTTCCTTTAATTCACGGAGCAGAAGTTAGGCCTCCACCTAACAATAAGCATTACAAAGACAAAATTCTCTACCAAGGAGAAAAGAAAGAAAAGACCCCAGTGCCCACAGCCTAGCAGAAAAGAGCATTTCCTGGTCAGGTTATGGAAGAGATCTGTGAAAGAGACATTTCCTGCCTCCCTCTACCTCCTGCAATGGTTACTCCAAACTCAGAGGGAACAATGTTGAGACGGAGGAGTGAGGGTGAAGAACATTAGCTCCAAATAGCACAACAGGCTTCAGAAGAATTGCAAAACCTCCACAAGACACTGGAGGCACAGCAGGGAAAGGGCTTCAGGTCATCAGTTTCCTAGTCTAATAGAAAGAGGTAGTGAGAGGAGTGTGGCTTTATGAACTGGGAGTCTAGTCCCTTGGTGGAACTGAATTTCTGTTCCTCAGAACTTGTCTGTATTATCCATAAAGTCAGCCTCCTTCCTACCAGCCAAGCAAGGTGGGGTCTCATCCAGAATACTGAGGGCACTGGAGTGAGCCGTACTCAATCAGGGTTCTTTGAGTTCTCTGAAAACTTTGAGCTTGAGACCACCCCCTGGGCTATCCAAGCCCCTAGAGAGGCCGGAGGTGCCGAGAATAAGGAAATCCCCTTACCTTTGCCATCTGTGCCTGCACCCCGCTGGCCTTAAGCGCAGTCACAGCTTTCTGTGCAGCTGAAGGACTGTCAAAATCTACAAAGCCATAGCCTAGAAAAAGGGGACCACATTAACTGTAAAGGGGACATTAGGCAGGTAGGAGAGGCTTTTCAGGGGGCTGAGGAAGAGTTAGTTATATGGTACAAGTGGTAGAAAGGAAGGGAAACTGAAGATTTCAAATGCTCTCCATAGATTCTATAAATCCTTGGAGATTTCTAACAATGTATGACAGGATTAACTACATGTCTTTTCCTCCAACCCCTTCCCCCTTTCCCCCTGAAACTAAAAATTTCAGGAGTTCTACCCAATAACTACAACAGGGAGGGCTTTCCCTTCTGGCTACCCTGTCACACCTCTGAAATATCAGGCATGTTGGGAATATAGCTTCTCAACAGCAAGAGCAAGCAACAGACCCCTACTATGGTAGCCCCGATGATCAATACTTTCTTCCTTTCAGTTTCCCAAACCCAGCCCAATCCATCCAAACACAACTAAGTTACTGCCAGGAATAGTCTTTGCCTCCAGACACACATAACTACTTTACAGTCACAGAAGAAAATTAAGTTGCTAGGCTAAGTTTTAATTCATAAGCCCCTGCTCACTTCTACCACCAAATCCAGAAAAAAACACGGGCAAGAAATAAACCCAAGGAAGTTTCTGTGTAGTATATATTCAATGTCTACTATGCACGAATAAATATGATGGCATTCATAGCTAAAGCAATATGACCATCAGGAATTCTAGGGACTATCAATCAGTTCTAAAAGGCTGGCAGGCTAAACTAATTTGCTGGCACTGTGCTTGCTAATCTAGGGGCAAGGGAAATGTACAAGGAGACAACTACTTTAAAAAAACTACCTACCCCCAAGGACGGTCTGTCTTCTCACCTTTGCATTTGTTTGTTGTCTTGTCCAATATGGCCTTAGTAGAAACAATTTTGCCATATCTAGGTGGGAAAAGGGGAGGGAAGAAAAGCAAAGTAATTATTTGGGGGCAAGAATGGGAGTAAACTCTGAGCACTGAGACGGGTAAATGAGTCCACCCCACTTCCCATTCCAAGCATAATACTTATGAGGACAACTGTTTTCCCCATTGCAGGCCTGTACAACATACAGCCATAGGGCTGCTTTCAGCCCACCTAAGGATTTCGGGCAGCCTTCAAAAAATGTAGAGAACGTAAAAGAAAGTAAAGATGTAACAGTGCTTTGTCTGTGCCCTGCTTAGCCTTCTAATAGTCCCTACTGTGCCAGTCATGTAACTTGGCAGGTATTTCTACCACGGGTCAAGACATCTGGCACTAGGTAGTCATTTAAATGTTTGTTGATTGATTGATCTTCCAAGGCCCAGTGGCATCAGTCTTTTCAGACACCAGGAATTCCAAATGACTGCCCCTCAACTGATCTTGCCTCCAGCCAGTATGGCTTACTCCACCTGTGCCCCAAGATCTCAACTTTCACCTTTTTCTAAAGGCCCTACTATCTGCTTCAGGGTCTCCCAGACTCCCAGGTTACTAATTCCCACAGCCCAGAGAGAAGTGTGTAGGATTCAGGACTGAGGTGCATTAGCAGCCTTATAGAACTTCCTCTAACCTAAATATTCTTGCATATTTCAAAAGACGAGGAAGGAATTTCAAAAAGGCAGAGCAGGGGTCACAAATCCAGCGGAAGAGAAAATACAGGGACAGTTTAGGAAATGTGACCCTGATCAACCATGTTCCCACCCTTCCCCCAGGCCCTGGAGAAGGGACAGAGGACTCAATTATTCTTTGGCTTCTCAGGCCCAAGTTGATTCCTTCAATGGGGCTTCTGTTTCTGGGGGGGGGGTAGGGAGGAGGTAAAGAAGAGGGAGACAAGCAGAGCCCTGAAGGCTGAGGCTGGCCATTAGACTGAGAGTGGGGATGTTTGGGGCAATCCCAGCCCCCCAACTACCACAACACTTGAGTGCTCTCCCGTCTGCAAGCAGCTGGGAGGGACACAAGAGAAGTCAGGCTATAGACAGAAGATGCTACGGTCCCACACAGAGCCTTGGGTGGGGCAGGAGCTTTTGAGCCAAGAATTTCCAGTGCATCTGATTAGAGCAGGGTCAATGTTGCTTCCTCCTTAATGGATTCCTGCTATGAGAACTAAGATCTATAGTTCCAATCCCCATATTACTTACTCTCCAACATGAGGTTAAGTTCTAATTTACCTACAAGTGAGGGATACTGTCCTTGAAACAGCAGGGACAAGGACAGGAAATCCTTCTAATTCAACATTTATTAATAAAAATGTCTGCTGTGCGTAAGGCACTTGGGCTTGGGACTCAGATTTTTTCTTTTATGAGGCAATTGGGGTTAAGTAACTTGCCCAAAGTCACACAGCTAGTGAGTGTTATGTGTCTGAGGCCAGATTTGAACTCAGGTCCTCCTGACTCCAGGGCTGGCACTCTATTCACTGTGCCACCTAGCTGCCCCTTGGGACTGAGATTATAAAGGTGAAGGGTAAAATCTCGACCAAGTTGTAGTAAGAAATGCCTTTCAGCAGGGGAAGTTAGGCTAGACTAGGGATGGACTCATGGAAGAGAAGGCACCTAAGCTACGGCCGAGGGCATATATGGAATAGCCTACATAAATGTATGGCAGTGAGGAAAGGATTATAAGATTGGAAATAAATTAATTAATTGGCTAAAATAAAAAGTACATGAAGGTGAATAGACTCAAATAAGGCCGGAAAGACAGGTTGAAGCCATTTTGTTAAGTGTCTTAAAAAAAATCAGGCTAAAGATTGTGTATCTTACTTCATAGGCAATGGGAAACCACTGAAAGTTTTTGAGCAAAATAGTGATATAATCAGACCTATGTCTTAGGAGATTATTTTGACAGCTGTGTGGAAGAGGGATTGGGTGAAAAAAGAGTGGAGGTGCAGAGACCAATTAGGAGGCTATTAAAACAGACCACATGAGAGGTAATAGGGGACTGAATGAGGAGAGCTGATCACATGAATGTAGCTCTCTTCTTCATTAATCTTCTCTTGATAGCAACATGAGATGCTTAGAAGATGGAATAGACTGGATATGAGGGGTGAGAGAAAGGAAGAATTGAAGATTACTTCAAGTTTCAGGCTGGATGACAGTAGAATTAACAAAATAGTTAGGAGAAGGAGCAATTTGGGATAAGATAATGGGGAGAAGATGAATTGAATTTTAGACATGCTGAGTTTGAGGTACCAGTGAAGATATACAGCCAGGCAGTTACAAATGTGGGATTGAATCTTAGGGGAGTTATTGGGGCTGTATATGTAAGCTTAGAAGTCAATCAGGTAACAATTGAAGTGAAATTTGCTAAGGACTGAGCTTTGGGATATAGTCATACTGAAAAAAGATGAACCAGTGAAGGAAGACAACGAAAGGTCAGATAGAAGAATCAAAAGATCAGTGTCATGGAAACAGAGAGAAAAGAAAATAAAAAAAAGAAAGGGGTAGTCAACAGTGTTAAATGTTAAAGAAAGATCAAGAAGGTTAATGGCTAAAAAGTCTATTGGATTGGCAAATAAGGCTAGAGAAAGACAACACCTTGTTCATTTCCCCAGGCTGCAGTCTACTTGCTATTCTCAGTCTTCCCTTCCTTATCATCTGTCTAGAACACAATTCCTTCAGTTTAATGTCTCTAAAGAGTCCAGAGCCAATATTATTATTGAATAGTCATTCACCTCAAGTAATAAGAAAAAATGAATAAGAGGGTCAGAAAACATGAGGGAAATTCAACTGAAATTCTAAAAAACCAAGAAAGGTCCCAGAAAACAGACAAAACATACTTCCCTCCTCAAACCAAAGAGACAGAAACTAGTAGGACAGAATATTACATACATTGTTAGATGTGGTCAGTGTCAGATGTTTTTACTTAACTGTTTTGCTTCGTCATAAGGGGAGATTCAAACTAGGAAGGATGGATGTAAAGACAAATGGCATCAATAAAATATATTAAGAGACAGAAATAAAAGAAAACACAAAACCTATTTTGGTTTCTTAGTTCCATTCCATATACAGCTTTTCCAAGAGAATATGAAAACACGTGTGTGTGTGTGTGTGTGTGTGTGTGTGTGTGTGTGTGTGTGTGTGTCTGCAAAGGGTTAGGGACATTAAGTCATGGTGAAATGGAGAGTTGTTTTCCTCCTGCCCTTTGGGAGGGGCAAAGGTGAGCCCAGGATTTTTACAACATAATATGTTACAGCACTGAGAATGTAAAAATGCATAATGGAAGGGTGGTGGGTGAAGTTTATGGCCCACTGTGTTCTAAAATAGGTGAGTAATAAAGTAGCTTTTTTCTAAAAGGCCTGTTCCCCAATCCTTTTTTGTGCTAAATTCATCTCTGGATCCCCTCCTATCTCTCTACTCCCACCCCCCACCCCCGCCCCCAGCTAACTCTACTATTTATAAGAATGCACCAGTCCCTGGAGCAAATGTGCTGGACCTGTGATAAACTGCTAATATTAGTGAGAGGTAAGGAGTCATAGCCTGAGTTTTTAAGAGCCATTGACACTGGATTTTCTGACTTGTGTCCCTGAGGCAGAACTTTTGGTCATCTTGCCATCAGGGAATCCATCTCTTTTATTCTGGCATGTATTCAAGTATTTGAAAGGTGGCCACATGAAGGAAGAATCAGATATGTATTTGGCTCCAGGGGCCAGCATCAGAAGCAATGGATGGAAGCTGCAAAGGAGCAAATTCAGGCTTGATTCAGGCAAAGCTTCCTAACAACCAGAGCTGTCACCAAGTATAATGAGCAGCTCAGAGAGGCAGTGGGCTCGCCCTCTTTAGAAGTCTTCAATTAGTGGCTGCATGACCACTTGTTGGGCAGGTTATAGTGGGGGGGGGGGAGTTATTTCACATCCAGATTAAGCTAGATGGCTCTTGAGGTCTCTTCCATCTCTCAAATTCTGTGAGTCAGTCACCTAAGGTTCTTCTGTTGCCTTCTTTCTGCACACTCCTACTACTCACCCTCTGTCTACCTTTTCCATTCCACTCTCCCTGCACCTCAACTCCTTTCAAATTCCTGATTTGAAACATATGTTTTCCTGCCAAGTGAAACCAAACAGGGCATTTCTAAGCTCTTATGATTCTTCCAGCATTCCTGCCAGGGGTGAGTTGAGGCTACCACCCACCTCATGACTCAGAGTTACTTTGCAAAATCTCAGAGGGACCTCGGGGGCAGCCATAGAAAGACAGTCTCCATTTTTGATTCCACCAATCTTACCCTTCTTTCTCTACTACTTTTTTCCTTCCAAATCAATGTTTCTCTGGCAAGCAAAGTTCTCAATCAGTAGGCTCCAAGCTTACAACTAGATAGGAGTCTCCAATTTCGTCTAACCTCCGCAAATGCCCTTCAGCCAGTAGAAAAATAAAAATAAGACCCAGAGGCTAGTTTTCCCATTCAAGACTATAGGGTGAGAAATCTTTCCACTGAGGCTCCAAGTCTGGGGAAAATATTGGAAAAAAGACTCATAGACAGGGCTTCAAAAATCAGTACCCCACTCCTGCCTCGTTTCCTCTAGACTCAAAAGAGTATAATGGAGGTTTGTGATTTCTGTGGGAGGAGCAAAATTGAGATTCAAGAAGGAATGAAAAAGAAGCAAAGAACTGTGGCACTTCAGAGTAAGGATATTTTTCAGGAAGCAGAAATTTTCCCATGTCTCACTGCCCATGGGAGCCTGCCCACATGGTGCCCTGACTTACGGCTGACAGAGCTTGACTAGGTCCTGGTCTGTGGTGCCTGGTTGCAGCCCTCGGATGTAGAGATTGGTTTTGCTCAGCTGGTCACCTCCACCACCCCCACCGCTGCCACTGATGCTGTTGCTGCTTGGACTAGGTGGTGCCATCTGCTGAGCCACGGACACATAAGGCTGTGGGGAGACACAAAGCACAGAGGATCAGAAAGGTTATGCTGGCAGGGGTTGGGGGTATCACTCAGGGTAGCTGGAGCCTAGTCCCCAGGAAAGGTGATGTTGAATTTCAAAAGAAACTGTAACCCCAGAAATCAACAGGAAAGAAAAACCTAGAGGTATTCTCTCTTGAGAGGGAAAAAAAGGACAACTGTCCTACCTGCTTCCTACTGTTGCTAAGAGGATAAAATAAGGCATGCTGAAGACTTTTCTTCATCCGTGAAAAAATACTACTTCTAAAACCTACCTCACAGGGCTGTTAGGAGTAAAGAGCTGTGCACGTGCGTGTGTGTGTGTGTGTCTGTGTGTATTATTTTGTTAGAAAAGACTTTGGAAAAGATACTTTGCATAAACATTGATTGCGGGAGGGTGAGGAATTAATGCCTACTTTATACGTTAACTGCATTCATCATGAAAACAAACTAACTTTTTTAGCTCAGAAAGCAAAAGGAGAGAATAGATAGGACATAAATCTGTAAAATTATAAAAAAGAATGAACAGGTTAAATATGGCTTTGTTAACCAAATCTAGAATATTAGAACTAAGAGGCAGCACTCTCTATGCTTAAAGATTAACAAATGAAGGGAAGTAATTGTTCATAGTGAAGGTATTAGATATATTCGATGTTACCCAAGGAGTGGGTAAAAAAAGGCTCTGATAAACTCACAGATAATAGAGTGATATAACATTAAAGGAAACTAAGACTTGAAAGGTACATTCCTACCCTTTAAAGGTTGACCTTCAGAAGTTCAGCCACAAAACCTGGTGCTACAATTAGAGACAAAATTTACAGCAAGTCTTATATCTTCCTTCTCAAGATTTTATTGTATATATTAATATTTCAGGGGATATCATTTGACCAACCATACCATATAAATGATTCTGTGCGATTCAACACTATTATATAACTACAAACACCTTTTTTCTCGCTGAGAGTACTTAAAGGTGTCAATCCCAATTCAGTGTCATCCCCAACACCAGATATCCATTTTGTGAAGGATATTCATTCATGAATTCATAAGATTTAGAGCTGAAAAGAAGCTTAGAGCTCAACTAGCCCCACTTCTTCATTTTACAGCAGAGGAAACAGCAGCAGTGTGGGAGGGTTGAAAAGGAAGAGGACTTGCCAAGGTCACACAGATTGGGAAACAGAAAAACTGGGATTCAAACTCAGGTATTTGACTGTAAACTCAGTTTTCTTTTCACTAAAACTAGAGTGCAAGCACAAAGCAGGCATGCCCTGCTCACCTTAATAACTGGTGTAGGGAGTCTGATTGATCAGGGATTAGTTCTTTGGTCACTTCAATTCAACCAATATTATCTATTAAGCACACTGGCATTGTACTAGGCACTGGGGACAGATGCAAAGATAAGAAAGGACACTGCGTCTCTCCTCAAGGATCTTATAGTTTAATAAATATGTAGTGAACATGATGATGACTGAAAAAGAGATCCAGATGAAGTCCTGCAGGAAAATTTGAAAAGAATGGGATCTCTTTAAAGGGGGGAGGGGCAGGGATCGAGATCAAGGAAAGAAAAAAGATGGCACCTCTGCTGGGTCTTGAAGTAAGAGAAAGCTCTCAGCAGGCACTGATGGGAATGCATTCCAGACATAGAGGATGACCTATTTGAACAGACTAAGGTAGGAGTTAGCAGAACAAGATTGAGAAACAGGTAGGTCCAGTTTGTCTGGAACACAGAATGAACAAAGTGGAATAGTATGAAATAAGGCTGGAAAAGCACTACGAGGTCAAATTAAGGAGAAACTTCAATGCCAGTTGTACAAGTTTGCACTTTATGGGGAGCCGCTGAAGGTTTTTAAGCAGGAAAGTGACATAAGCAGACCTGTGTATTAAATGTATATAGGGAGACCAAGTACTCCCCTGCCCACACATTACTCTGTAGTTCTCATATTTTGGCAAAGGAGAAGGAAGATCCAGCACCACATTGTGGGATAATCCAAAGGCTTCTGTGGCTCCAGCAAGACTCTTGATTCTTCTCTCTCTCTCTCTCTCTCTCTCTCTCTCTCTCTCTCTCTCTCTCTCTCTCTCTCCCTGTTTCTCTTTTCCCTGGCACCGAGATTGGGATTTCCCAGATAGAGGGCCCTATGTGCCAGAGAGATATTTATTACTCTTCAGTGATGACAGTAAGAGTCACATGATGAAGTCAACAAGGGCAGGGGCAAAGTGAATGTTTGCAGCTTTCTGACAACAGGACAACAGCCACGTACATACACTTCTCTAGGTGGGCCCTAGAACTGGGCATTGATGTTATTATTCTAGCCACTCTAAATTTAATCCTTATAACTAACTTACTAACTACACTATTAATTCTAGTCTTATTCTTTTAACTTTCAAAATCTAGCAGGGCTAGCCTCCATTTTCACTCACATCAGTATTTTATCATTCAATTTGAAAGGGAAAGCTTCCACAAAGATTCATAGTTGCTGTTGTTCAGTCATGTCCAACTCTTTTCGAACCTATTTGGGGTTTTCTTGGCAAAGGACACTGAAGTGGTTTCCCATTTCCTTCTCCAGCTCAGGAAACTGAGGCAAACAGGGTTAAGTACTTGCCCAGGGTCACACAGCTAGCAAATGTCTGAGGCCAGATCTGATGTCATGAAGATGAGTCTTCCTGACTCCAATCCCAGTGCTCTATCCATTGCACCACCTGGCTACTCCAAAGATTTATAACTTATATTCTAATCAGAACACTGGAGTTCAGAAGATTAGTTCAGATTATTCAGTGAAGCTATACCCAACTAGGTGGTACTGGGCCTGGAGTAAAATCTGGCTCTTCTTCCTGAGTTCAAATCTGACCTCAGATACTTAATAGCTGTGTGACCCTCGACAAGTCACTTAACCTTATTAGCCTCAGTTTCCTCATCCATAAAATGAGCTGGAGAAGGAAATGGCAAGCCACTCTAGTATCCTTGCCAAGAAAACTCCAAAATGGGGGCAGCTAGGTGGCGCAGTAGATAGAGCACCGGCCCTGAACTCAGGAGGACCTGAGTTCAAATCCAGCCTCAGACCAAACACTTGACACCCACTAGTTGTGTGACCCTGGGCAAGTCACTTAACCCCAATTGCCTAAAAAACAAGCAGACAAACAAGAAAACTCCAAAATGAGTCAACAACTTAATACCGCCTCTTCCATCCCAGGGGAGTCACAACTATGGATCAATTGGGAAGCTAAGCAACTAGAGCTGAGAAAAACGTATTTTAAGTATACTTATCACCTTTCCCAGTATGGAGTATTTCTCAAATGGCAGAACTTTCAGAACAATTGCAAGAAGGTCAAGGAGGAAGAAAGCAAATTGGGGTTATAATAATAATGCTAACAAAAACCAATTATAATAATGATAGCTAACATTTATATAGGACTTACTATGTGCCAAGCATTGTGCCAAGCATTCTCACAATTCTTATCTCATTTGATCCTCACAAAAACCCTGGGAAGTAGATACTATTTCCCCCCCATTTTACAGATGAGGAAACTGAGGCACATAGAAGACTTAAGTGACTTGCCCATGGTCACACAACTAAATAAGTTATTGAGACCAGATCTGATCTCAGGTCTTCCTGATTCCAAGCCGGGTCCTCTGTCTACTGAGCCACTTAACTGCCTCAAGAAACTGATCTGTTATCCAGACTTAAACTTTAGTTTTGACACTGTGAGCTTTAGTCATATTCCAAAAAATCAGACTTTATCAATAGCAGCCTTAGTGTGAGGCCAGAAAGGGTCCTGGGAAGAACAGATGTGGCCCAGAAATGAAGATATCATTCTACTGCTGCTCCCAAGAGCTTTCTAAAGTTGTAGTATAACCAGGGCTTGAACAGTAAAGAGAAATGGTACACTCATTATAGGAAGAAAGGAAGAAATTACTGCTCCCATACTGGAGAGAGTGCCTATGTAAGAGATTTTCTGGTTTCCCAAGGGTTCAGTAAGAGAGAGACTCTCTAAATTGTTAATCTGTGTATGCAAGAATGTGGTAGCATGATGTAGTGCAAAGACCTGGGCCAGGATCTTGTTTCTGGTACTTCCTGGCTCTGGGACCACAGACCACAGTGTTATTGATCCTTTCTGAACTTTTTTTCCTTCATCTGTAAAGTTGGAATGATTACCTCTGTAGTACACACCTCAAAGCGTTGTTATAAGGATCAAATGAAATGACGTACCTAAAATCCTTTGCAAACCTTAAAATACCATGGAGATATTAGCCATTACTACTATGCAAGAGATAAAAAGGAGTCAGGTTTTTTCCTCCTAAAGGAGAGAAAAAAGAGAGACTATTATTCCTCACATGTCCTGTATTTTTGTCCTACCTAGCCCTTTCTCAGATTTCCTAGCCTTCCATACTCTAATGCTAATTATGGCAGTTTGTTTTTTAAAGACTCAACAAAACTTTCCTCTATCTGAACTCACTGAGGAGGGAAGATCAGAGCAGCACAGTATGAACCATTTACAAAATCAGACAGTAACTGGCCAGAAGAGCTATATGACATTCTTTAAGGTCACTTTCAACTCTGAAATTCTATTAATTCAAACTGCCACCTTTACTCTGAAGGTATCAGTCTGGGTATTTCTTACTCTTACCATTGTTATTATGTTCTGCTGATTAACTGACAAGGTTGCTAAGGGACCACCAGCTCTAGCACTACTTTCTCTTCACACCGATTATTGTCGGCCTCAGTTATAGGCTACAGTGGCCAAGACATCCAGTAGTGACATATTATATAATGCCATAGGCTTGGTCCTCAGATCAACACCAATTTGACTGCAAAAAAGTGGCTGTTCTCAGCTAGCAGTCTTGTCAGTGAATCAGCAGAGCATAAAAACAATGGGTTAGTAGTAATTACAGGTAACTCCATATCTCAAGTTTGTATCATGTCTTTGATTTAAAGAGTTCAAATCCTGTGATCCTTTGAATCACAGCGACTAATTATCCTTTGATCAAAAGAA